AGAAGCTATAAATTTAATTTACGTTTGTTCTAATCACAAATTGCCTTTGAAAAATTTACTAGATTTCTCTTCAGTAGTCAGATATTGGCAAAAACCAATAGATTCTGATCCATTTCTTCCACTTCGAGTAGTTCCTATAGATATGTGCCCTCATACACTTAGATCAGAGCTGGTTTTGCACTTTAAGAGGTTTTGTGTTGATGAAATTTTATCAACTAAAAACGATAGACCATCAAAGATGTATAGCAACAGAAAGTTTAAGACAAAATTTAACTCAAGAACATCAGAAACAGTTACATCAAATGTTCAACCATCCGCATCCGGAGTTGGTGGATTGTTGGACTACCTAAAGAAAATCGAAGAAAGAGCGTATCAAGAAGGATTAGCCAAAGGATTAGAGAGGAAAGCGTTCCAAATAGGTTATTCAAGAGGACTTCAGTGTGCCACCACTAATGACGATGATAAATTTAAGAAAAACACTTCAACTAATAATTCTGATCAGTARTTACACATTATAATAGATTATTATATTATATATTAAATATTTATATAATTTTAAAAGTTCCATACACTTTGTTATTAACGAAATAACCAGCCTTTTTGTGATGTATTTTAATGATTTAAAAWGTTTCATTGTAATTAATTAATGTAAAACTGTATTATGGTACATTTATAAATCGAGGAAAAGATATATAATACCCAGTACCCACTCAAATGAAATGCACAATACACAATTCGCAGTTATAGTAATATATATCATAATAAGTTATATAGGTACCTACAGTTCAAAATAATTATTTAAATTAAAATTATTTAATTTTAATGAATAATCTTAAAAGTTAATATTTACTTTCACAAAAGCATTTTTCTTACATTATAAATTGGCCGTGTGCCGTGTATTATTTCTTTTTTACTAGTCAATATAATCCATTCATATAGGTAATAATATAATATGTTATACATTAATAGTTATAAGTTATATACATTTTCAAGAAGTACAAAATGAAATTGACCATATTATAATTTATAATATAAATATACATAGGTAGGTAACATAAATATCAAATTTGTTAACTAAGTACTTACAAAATATTCAACGTAATTTCATTGAAATTARCATTCTTAAAATGTCTTAGTAATGCTAAGTTAAAATAGTTTTAATATATGTATATTGTGAATTATGAATATTGTATGTATAGTGTATACTGTAAAATATAAGATATCATTAACGTCAATAATTATGAAATGTAAGCTATACAATATTGGTACTATTGTAATTGTAAGGTACCTACATAGTACGTATAATATTATTATATRTATTTCAATATTTTAAGCATTAGGAAATATAATATTATTTATTGCACTTTATACTATAATTCTTTTAAGCAATATAAAGGTATATAAATTTAAGTATAAAAAAATATGCATATCGATATTACTAGAAATATGTTTTTTTAATTTTACATATACCCTCGGCAGCTTATAGGCCATATTTAAGCTTAAAGGGAAATAATTAATTACATATTAATTGTGTAGTTACTAAATCTAAGTGTTAATYATATTTTTGTCTGGAGGTGGGCGGCTGTAATGAACTGGATATTTGCTATCGATTGAGGRTGATTGCTTAGTAATTAGTATTTTTGGTAGTGATTCAGGAAGGTTGTGTCTTGTTCGGATATTGAGGTATGTTCCGCATTCGGTGAAAATGTGGTGACTTGTACAGTGCATGATGGGGCACATTGGAGGTTCTTCCTTGGCCATTATGAAGGTGTGAGGAATTTGAGTGTGGCCGATTTTGAATATAATTATTATGAGCTCAAATTTTCAGTAGATTTTGATAGGGAATTTCCAATTGTCAGTATTATGTTTGATATTATGATGATTTAACTATGCTTTTTTGTAGGTAGCAGGGGATGTGTTCTTTTTAAAAAAAATAGAAAGTTCAATGTTGGTTTCGATGAGATTTCTCCATTACATTCAATTTATATACCAATAAGTATATATTCTTATTCCCAACAAAGCAGAAATGGCAAATTTATTTGATTTAGGTGAGCTAGATCGTTCATCCGTCAAATTGATCTCGTAGTTCCRAATTGATCTAGTAAGGAGTCCTTGAGACTTATAAAATGGATTTAGGACTATAAAGGGTGCTTAATATCTCGTAGAGGTGGACATTTTTAATCGTTAATTATTTAAATTATTCGAATAATTTGAATCGGATCAGTTTATAAAATATTAAAGTACACAACAATTAGACCTGTTGCGGGTCACGTGGGTGGCCGTACGAGTTTGGTTTCTACTTAATATTCTAATTARTAATTTCTGGTATTCATCATGRTTATGATTAAACCACGGTCTTCATACATAATAATAATATTATACTTTCAATTGCGTTAAATCAGCGCGCTGCAGTGGCTCTCAAGCTGCGGTACGYGTACCGGTACAGGTACGCAAAGACTGCATAGTGGTAAGCGGAACGCGTATGTTTAAAAACAACAATAAATTTCAAATTTGTGTAAATAAATAAATAAAAATGTTATCATAGTATTTTACAGACTTTTTATTCAAAATAAATGTATGTATTTAACTATCTAAAGTTTGCATGGTTCTATTTTTAATCATTAATGGTACGTAAATAAAAGCTTGAAAATCGCTGGGTTAAATAATTATAATTTATAATCAGTTGAATTTTTAAGTATTAAGCATGTTTTGAACCACTAGTTTAAATAAGTTTCTGTTATCAGTTTATCACTGTTATCACTTATCATACGATTATATTGTGATGTGATTATATGAATTATGAATGCGAAACTTCATGTCAATGTAATCGTGTACAACTACTTGATTATTAGTAAATGAAATGTGTAAAAGTTTTTATGTAATAAAATCAATCAATATTGTTGATTAATAAAGTTACATTCTTTCATATTTATTTTTATTTTAAAGTTATTTTTGGTTTTTAAAATAAATGTTTTCAGAAGATTCATGACTGATAGCAAGCTAAAAGTATGTATGCTAAAATATGAATAATACTTTTATACTTATTTTATTTATCTATAAGGCATAATTCATAATATGTGCTCTAAAAAACTTTATAAACAGCAATAAAATAGAATAGTTAAAACGTTTTTTAGAGCGAAGATTTGTGATTTTTGTTATCTAAACCAATGGCAATTTAGTTTTTTGTGTTACCTTCTCAGTTTGCGATTGTAATTACACTTATTTATTATTAATTCATTATAATTTAAATTAAGTAAAAAAACTATATTTTAACTTCCTATTATTGTATTTTCTTTAACAAATAGATAATTTTATTGTATAGTGGCTTACAAACTATAAATTAATTATATGTATTATCTATAACAACAAAACAAAACAGTTGTATTAAAACCTTTAATGCAAATAATTAATGTGTTGTTAACTAACTAACTAACGGTTGTTAGTTAGTCTTCAAAGTTCAAATATTGSCATTTAAGATTAAATATATTTTTATGATATATTTGTATAATGCAGATGATAATTAGCCACTGATACTTGAAAGTATTCAAATTAGGACTGATCTATTAAGAATTTTTGTAATACTTTTAATAATTAATAGCCTATATTCTATATGTGAAATGTGAATGATGTCTTCCTTACAATAGTAAGCAGTAGGTACTTTGARCTTAMAAATTGGTGCCTTCTAATTTAGATCCCAATGGGTACTTTTCTGTTATCCCTACTACTGCGGCGACTCTCAATTCTRTTATCTAGACTACCTCGCTGATGCCACCACTACTAAATTCTGTTATTTCGACTACTATAGTACTAACTATCCAGATAGTTCCRTATTTTAATACATAATATACATCATGAATTGCCATTTATGTAATAATATGTATATTAGTATAACGTTTATTATTAGCTATCACATAAATTATCACAGCAGTGGAGAGTTATAGTATAAAACCACGATTTAAGATAGTACTAACTTAAATTGTGTATAAAACAAAAAGTCATCAAAATTATCAATTAAACGTCAAGCGGTAGTAGGGATAACAGAAAAGTACCTCCAAATGTTTAAATTATAAATGTTTCGTAAAATGTGAGAAGTCAGAAGATCCTCTATCTTAGGATTTGTGGTTTGTCTCAGATAAGAAATAAGAAATGAGTAGAATATAAACCAAGTTAATTTTAATTTGTCATTTAGCATTAGATCTAACGGTGCATTACATTATTTTTTATTTAATTTTCATTCAAAAAATATTTAATATAAAGTATAAGACTGGATGGTAAACGACTAGTGGAATAAGGTGTACAAATATTAGGAAATACCTTGGAAGTACAGTAGTACACATTATTGGAAATTTGGTGTACAAAAAATTGACTAGTGGTTACGCTAAGTATATTCATATTTAAGCTCAATGTCTGACACTCTGACATAGTGATTTTCTTAACTTTTTTGTAAACTGAATGGTCTGAATATCTTATTAAAACTGACCTAATCCATAAGTTATTATTGTACTACTATATGGGTTAAAGGTTATATTAATGACTTGATTTGCAAAAGTAAAAAATTATTGTAAGTATATTTGTATTCCTTCTATGAAGTGTCAGGAAGTCGGCACTCGTTTCGTGCACTCAATACAATTTTGTTCGTCCACGTGGAAAGTCAACGAAAGTAGTACACTRGTGGCGCGCTACTTCATTATTATACACTCATTAGGCAACCCTAATGGGGTTTAAAATTTTTTTTTTCTTCTCTTTATTCCTCGTACGTCTAAGCGAGTATAATGTAGCGCTAYACACTTTCACTGTCTACCAATCGTTGTTGATTGATTGATTATTCGCAGACGGAATTGGGTTTTCAGAGTAGGTTGTGGTATGTGCATTAAGTCTGTGAACGCGTCATAATGAGCCGACGTCCAAATGAAACCTTCGGCCCTCATCGCACTCKGTCGGTGACGACGGTAGTTAATGCGGYGTGGATGCGCGAGGGTGACTAYAAACTAATCGATACGGCGTGACGCGGCACGCTCGAAGGGGAACCGCTAACGCCGTTAAACGCGGGCGGCGAACGGGTGGCCCCGGCGTGGTGTAGGCGCGCACATTCCTCCGTCGTTTCGCGCCCCTCATCGGACCGTCGTCGCGTCTCCCTCGCCAGTACCAATCGTCCCGCTATCGTCCATCGACGTCCGCCATGCGTCATCCGTCGCGAGTCTTTTATTGTCGTCTCCGCCGTTTCTGTTACCGCGTTATTCTATACCAACTCGATTGACGACTTCGAGACACCGACCGGAAGCGTACTCTCAGTCATATTATACGCAATCGTTTCATCCCCAYCGCCATTGGTCGTGCTGGTGTCGCCGTTGAGCGTCGGAATTGTGCGATGCGCGACGGACCATGACACTGTGCCACAGCGAGACAAGGAGAAAACAGCGGCGGGTCCACGGACTTCAAATGCCATGGCACCCGCAGCAAGTAGCTGGTTGGCTGGTGCTGGCCATGTTCGGTGCCTGTTCGTTCGGCGTCCTGTTGCCCGGCCTCSGGCCTGACGTCTATCCAGTCGCGCTGTTTGTGCTGGGCAGCCTGTTCTTCTTACACGTCGTGTCGCACGTGGCTGCGCTGCTCATCGATCCCGCGGACCCACAGCTCCGTGCTCTCAGAGGCGACGGAGAATCGAAGAGGAAGTCCGTCCCGGAGCTCGACAAGACCAAACACGCGCACGTCATCGAGAACGGCAAATGTCACCTGTGCAATATATACACGTCCAGCCATCGGACCAAACAYTGCGGATCGTGCAATAAGTGCGTGGAGAAGTTTGACCACCATTGCAAATGGCTGAACCACTGTATCGGCGCTAGAAATTACGTGGCGTTCATCGTGAGCGTCGTGTCTGCTGTGCTCGCGTGCTTGGTGATCGTGCTGGTGTCGTCCGCTGAGCTGGTCATCTACAACGCGGACCCGGTACACGTCGAGCACTACTTGCGGCCGATGTTCGGCAGTAATCAAACCATCCAGGTGAACCAGTTATTCAGCGTCAGTCGACTTTCGGTTGACCGGAACGTGTTCGTGGCTGTCGCGTCTGCCCAATGCGCCTTGGCCCTGGTCGCCATGGTGCTGCTGCTGCATCTGTGCGTGTTTCACGTGTACATATCCGCGCTGGGCATCACCACGTACGAGTACATCCGAAACTACAGGAGATATCCAGAGTTCGATTCCAGGAACGGTGCGGCTACGTTGTCGTCGTCGTCGTCCGTGTCAGACAACCACATCGCGATGTCTTTGGGGTCCTGTAAAAACGCTGCGGGCCGGAAGTCCGCTTTGGCCAAAGTGTACGCTTCAGCGTGTTGTTACGGCGCGGTGACCGCAGGTCGGCACAAGCGGCCGTCATGCGGCATCCACTCGAACTTTAACGGCGCAGGCCGGAACGACCAGGATGGCGCTAGCCACGACGACATGACTGTTGAGACGATTGAATCGTACGGTCGTAGTGGCTCCAGTAGACTGCTGAACCCGAAAGACTTGGAGCGGACAAGACCAGAGGACCGTGATCAGCAGAGCACACAGCCAAAATGTCGGTACTGTCTGGAGAAAAACAGGATCCGGGGTGATGGTGCACGGTTCTTCGTGTTGGGCAAACGCCGAAAAGGGTTTTGTTGCTGCTTCCAGAAACCCGAGCCGGTATTTGGTCGGACTGCTGCAGTTACCGCTGCGGCCGCCCACCACGTCAAGGTTCCGCCATCGCCGTTCGCCGTTCGCCGGAACCGTGTCATACCCACCGACAGTGGTCAGTTATCGTTGGTTGTCGACGAGTGGAAATCGTTCAACTCGGGCTCACTTCCGGCCCTGCCACACGCGGCCGGCCACCGTCAGATGCAGAAGATCACGCTCAAGGAGCTAGGCCAGGTGTTGGCATTCGTCGAACAACAGCCTTCGAAAACTAAGCGACGCAAGATTGGCAGCGGAAACGGGCAGATAAAACACTCGAAATCTTCGTCCAACCTGTCACCGATTCACGAGTCGGGACTGTCCAATCCGTCGACGCCACAACTGAAAAACCGTTGTCCGCAGACCAGGCCGTGTAGTTGGCTGTCGTCGTCGTCACCGCCGTCTTCCTCCCCGCACAGCACTTCCAAAAGCGCGTAATTTGTGTGTGGGTTTTCCATATCTCCACCCCTTTCTCCTCCCCTAAGACCCTTTTGATGTGTATACACGTGCAGCAATTCGAATTTCATTTTAACCGCCGGCTGATAAACCGACAAAATATCTTATGAACGACGGCGTTTGGTAATCAAAAATGTAAACAATAATATTATATAATTTTACAACCGTAGGTATAGCCGTGTCCAACCCACTGAACTGAATACAGTACATTATATATATTAAGTTCAATGTTCCTCAATTCCGTATATAGTTGCAAATCGCAAGGGGGATCAGGGGACGTAGCTCCCAAACGTCCCATCAGCCCCTCAAAATATAGTTTTTTTGTTATGTAGGATCGAAGTTATGCGTGTCGGAATCCGAAAGCTCTTCCGGTTTATCCGTATTTGAAATATTATGTATGTATGAATACCCTTTTTAATTTAACACTACCGAATGACGAAAAATATACTGTCTGGATAAGCTAAAATGTCACGAGTCACTAAAGAACACTTGAGGAAAATGTATTTTTATATTTTTCATTTTCTTTTAAGTTATGAATTTATAATAACAAAAACATTAATTAGTTTAATATGTTTATACTTCTCATAGTATATAAATATAAAAACTGAAAAACTTATAAACTTATTATATTCAGTTTTACATGGAAAATTATTTTTTTTTAATTATTATTCTAAACTTAAAACATTTGACCATTATGACATTACGATTGATATAAGTTTGTGGTTGTTTCATGAGCAAGAATATCGTTAATATGAAATGTATTTTTTTTTTTTTTGAAAAATTATTTAGACATGAAATTCGTGTACTCCTAAATGAGGGGAATCTTAGAGTTTTTAATTTGGTTCAACTTCATTTTTAATTATTGACCTACTGCATTTTATAGCGTATATCGATGTTATACTAATATAAGTAACTGTGCGAAATCCAGAGGACTGAAGAGGTATAAACCTCAAATAATCGTATTAAAAAAATTTGGATTTTATCGTTTTTTTTTTCTTTATACACTTACCTATAACCTATATAACTTAAATAGGTACCTATATAATATATTATACCTAAATGTTTAACTCAAACTGTTATACCTCCATTTATGACTAATGACTATCAACTACCAATATGTTTTTATTATCACATGTGATTGGGGTTTTTGAAAATCTCAACAAATAATTGATACTCATTCAAACCAAAAATGATTTTAGCAATGATAAAATAAAAACCTATTCCCAAGCACGCGATATTATATAATATTCGTTATAGTGTGATATATAGGTACCTACCTACTATAAGTCGTCTTTTCTTGTTGTACTATATTAATATTTTAAAAATTTTTCATTTTTATAAATACATTTGAAATTTTAATATATTTAGAAAACTATTGTTTATAATCATTTTTATTTTGTGAAAACCAAATGTTTGAAGTGTCGTGGTTTAGTTTTAAATTTTATTAGAAAATAAAGTGTTTGTGAAATTTKTGAAAATTAAATATATTTTTTCAAAGTATATGTTATACACTGTTTATTTAATTGGAAAATCATTAGTTGATGTTGAATGTTCAATATATTACATATATTTAATATGTTGAATTTAATATCATTTTCTACGGCCTTCAGTATAATTTTACAATTATTATCTAATAATATGTTTTTAAAAATAATGGAAAAGTCCACTATAATTCCATTATGTTTTAATTTATATTTTCAACAAAGTTTTTGAGAGTAAGACATCTTATTATGTCTGTTTCATATTCAAAATTATTTATACTGAGAACATTTGTATTTAAAATTTACTAATTATTACTAATATCAAGATATTATAATTATTAGTCTTATTAGTAATAACTAATTACAATGTAAATATTTATCAATAACCTAATAAGTTTTTCTATGTACCTACACATTAAGTTGTATTCTTGTAGATGAAGAAACAAAAGAATTACCTATACAGTATAATATTATGTAATTACGAATTTGTGATAATTATAGTCCAAAGCATACAAAAGTTTTTACTTCATTTAACTCTAAGTCATAATTTATTTAATTACCTAAATTTAAAATCTTTTACCCATTCATTTTTTCTCAATTATTAATGAGAAAAATTAAAATCAATCCTACAATTAATAAATTTGATTAGTTTTCTTTTTATTTGATAAAAATGCGTTTGTGGACTTGTAATATTTTCCATAAAATTAAGTAACATCTAAAAAACTTTTATTATAAATTGGTACGAGTTAACCATGGTTTAAATTTTAAATATTAGTATTATTTGTAGTGTTAATGAATATTTTTCTTATGATCAGACTTTTAACCACTTGTTTGTCTGTAAAGTCTGTAAACATGCCTAATAGTTTTCTATTTTACCATTTTGAAAGTCAAATAATTTATAATATTTACCCATAATTTTGTTTTTCAAACATAATATGTACCATATAAATATAATATTGTATTATCAGATCAATATCTGTTTATTTATTTTTGCATAATAAAAATGGTGTCCATATAAATTATAAGTTATGGTTTTAATTTATTTTGGATTATATGGATTACAGTATCTATTGAAATGTCAATAAATACATGATAAAATATTATACATCCAACAAATTGTTATTTTATACATCCTTTAAATTATAATACTGTTATCCATTTGCTGAATTTTTAGTATAATAATTTTACAATTAAATTAATTTTTAGGTATAATTAACTGGAAATATGGAGGTAAAAGAAAATGTATGGGAACGGCTTGGAAAACCAAAGTATGTACTAGCCCCTATGGTTGAACAGAGTGAACTACCTTGGCGGATGTTATCACGTAAACACGGTGTTCAATTATGTTTTGCACCTATGTTACACAGTCAGAATTTTGTTCAAGATCGTAAATATCGGAAAGAATTTTTTACTACTTGCCCTGAAGACCGGCCATTAGTTGTTCAGGTACAACTATAAAAACATAATATTATGTTTATTTAATAGTTTTAAAAGGGCTACTCTGCATGGTATGTCTCCATCTTATAATAAAATTGTACAACAAAGCAAATTATTATTGAGCAATGAGCAGAACCAACTTTGTGTTCTTAGCTTTAATATTAAAGTGACCTTTCATTGAACTTAAACGTAAGAATACATTGAAGTTTTTAAATTATTATTTTTTTACTATATTTACTATATTTCAATTTTTAAGCAAAATATGAGAAGATATTATATAAAATATTACAATAAAAAATGTTTATAAAACTTAAGTATTTAAAAATTAACATATCTAAAAAACTAATGTCATTTTTCATATGTTTTTAGATTGATAGTAGGTTAAGTTCTCTCTAATATTAAAGATAATGAAACATTAACTCTGCCAAAAAATATATTGTACATTGTCATTGTATATAGAGACAACAATTGCAGGAGTGGTGTTTGCATTAAATAAGTTTTTTCAAATATTGTTTTTATTAGTTCTGTGGTAATGATCCAAAAATAATACTAGAAGCTGGAAAATTAGTTGAAAATAGTTGCGATGTAATAGATCTTAACTTGGGTTGTCCACAAGCCATTGCTAAGCGTGGATTTTATGGTTCTTTTCTCCAAGATGAATGGAAACTTATATTTGAAATTGGTAAGTAGGTTCTATTATTTTTGCTTTAATAATAATATAAGTATGATGGTAATATGTTCAGTATCCAATTCAGCTAAACACAAAAAATATGTTATTGATATTTAAGCTTGTTTAAATTTCAGTTAAAACATTGCGAGACAATCTTACAGTACCAGTTTCGTGTAAAATACGTATTTTTGAAGATTTAACAAAAACTATTTCATATGCTAAAATGTTAGAAGAAGCAGGTTGTCAAATGCTAACTGTTCATGGTAGGACTAGAGATCAAAAAGGAAGATTAACAGGAATAGCTGATTGGAATCAAATAAAAGCTGTTAAGTAAGTTAAAAAAATCCAAAATATATTCAATATGTAACTATTATAACTTATTCTTTCTTTTAGAGAATCATATCTTACATTTATTTTGTTTTTATTGACTAATATTTTAATAATTATACTTATTCCTAACAAATTATGACTATTGTCAAAGTAATTCTCATGTATGAAGACCATATTATATGTATGTTTTTGCATATATTTTTTCGAATTATACAGATTTAATTAAGTAAAATTTCTTGGTGTATTTTTCTACATAGAAGTAGCGTACAATAGTTTTTAAACCATAAAAATAATGATTCAATGTTAAAGAATATTTGGTAAGATATTATATATTTCAGAAATGTATTGGTATTTTTTTAAGTATCAACATATTTTTATTTTTAATCATCATTGAAATTAACATAAAAAATTTGAATTTTATAAATTATTTTACAAATTATAAGATTTTAAACCATGAATTTATTAATKTTACAGTGATCTGTATTTTTAGTTTTTGTTTTTTTGTCTGAAGACACATTTTTAATATAAAAAAATGCTCTGATCATCTTTTTCGATACAGGTTCTTGTAGAAAACTGGATCTGGTTAGTACTTTAGAGAGATGAAAATTGAAAATGTTCAATACTTTTTAAATTAATAAGGAAAAATAAAGAATAAAATAATAAAATTGTATACGAACATGTGTTAAAATTTTAATATAATGATTAATGACATATTAAAATAATTGTTTGGAAACTATCTCTAATTTTTTTTCTATAAGTTTTGAAGTCAAAAGCTTAAAAATGTAATCATTATATTTATTTTTCAGGGAAAATGTAACAATTCCTGTCTTAGCCAATGGCAATATTCTTATATATCAAGATATTGAAAGGTGTTTAAAGGAAACTTTGTGCGAAGGTGTTATGTCTGCTGAAGGACATCTTCATAATCCATATATTTTTGACAACCAATCACCTCCTGTTTGGGAACCAGCACTTGAGTACTTAGATCTTAGCCAACAATATCCTTGTCCACTTTCAAATACAAGAGGTCACTTATTTAAACTTTGCTACCATGTGTATGTGATTAAAATAATGATTTTAAATTATAATGTGATTATAATTATTTTATATTTTGTAATTTCAGATTCAGCCTCCCCGAAAATGAATCAATTAGAGAAATATTAGCAAAAGGTCAAAACCGTAATGATTTTAGAAATGCCATCATGCAATTAAAAGAAAAGTATTTACCATATCACATGGGCCAATTACCATGGAACAACAATCAAAATGGTATTCTACTAATTATTTTGCTTTAATCTTATGAACAAATTACATCCTTACAGTTTTTAATATGTTTATAGATTATAACTTAACTTTACCGCCTTGGTTGTGTCAACCGATGATTCGTGTTATACAAAAAAGTAATTTAGTTGAACTTGAAACTAATGAAGAACTAAATAAATCAAAAACTGATGAAAAAGAAGTAAGGCATTTTATTGTTAAACATAATATTTAATATATATTATGTTAACTTTTTTTTTAAATTGTTTCATTCAAATAGAATTTAAAGAGAGGTATTGATGATGAAGACTGTATTGACCCACTAAAATTGTCAAAAAAAAAATTAAAACAGTTAAGTAAATTAAAAAACAAAGAAATCCGGTGTCAAAGAATACTTGAAGAATTATGTTCTGAATGTCGAAATCCAAAGGTACCTACAGTTTCTGAAGTGTTATTTTAAATTGTGCCTAACCTTAACTAAATAATATATAGTTGTTAATTTTATGTTTACTGTCAAGGGCTTGAAATGTGAGTATAAACTTTGTAAAAAATGTTGTCGAAGTAAATGTTATTTGGAAATTGCTGATTGTCTTGGTCATCGGATATTAATTAAGACAAAGAAAAAATTATCTCGTCACAAAGAAGGTATTTAATATTTATATTGAATAAAATAATACAAATTGTATGATAATTTATCCATCTAACTAGAAAAACTATATTTTCATTTTTAACAAATTTTAAATTTAAATTTATCATTTTAAAATTACTTAAGTTTTTATATTTTTTTGAAATTGTGTAAACTAACATGTGAATACGATACATTACTAATAATCAAAATTATAATTATAATTTTATTTAATATAAGTTATTATGACATGTTAGATGTAATGTAAATCATTTTAATTATTAATATCCAATATTTTTATTGTATCAATTTTCAGAAAAAGATCTCAGCGGTAATCAAATATACACTGATGTTTCATGAAACCCCAAATTAAAAGTATGTTACAATGATAAAGTGTTAACATTTTTTATAAATGTTTTATTAATTCTAACAATAGTAAAAATAATATTTGTTAATTGTTATTTTAATTACGGTAATTATAAGTTAATAAAAAATAAATAATATGTTTTATTTATATTTATTCTACTATGGATTGGTCTAATTTGCTGAACTCTGTTGATACGCTGATTTACTGTACTGGGGCTATAGCAGCTGTAGCATAGACAAATCAAATCCAAATGTGCTGAAACTCCACAATGGCCATTATAACACCTCCATACAACTTTCTACCAAATTATAAGTTGTTCCGTTGAATATCATATCCAGGTTACCTGTTGCAGAAATATCAAGAACTTAAACACATTACTAATAATTATAAAATTTTGTACACAACAAGGGTTGTACTGTATTTAAATATCATAAAAATTTCTAGTGTCTAMCACGGAAATCGGATCTGTTATAACCTTATAAGTTATAACTTATAAATGCAGTTTAGTAATTGCACCTAAATGTAAATCAGTACTTACTTGCAATATAATAAAAACCCTGTATGTTTATGTTGCATTAAAACATTTCTAGGACATATACTAAATTAAGACAACGTTTTACTCTAGACAGTGACTTGGAACAGTTTATCCACTTCCCTGAAATTATGATTAAGATTAAGGATTTGTCATAAAAAACATTTTTTTTAAATTTACTTTTAATTATATTTCAATATTTCTTGCACAATCACTAAAATAAAGCAACGTTCTACACTAGAAAGTGACTTAGGATCCATCATCCATCCATATACCTTGATGGTTGATTCAGATGGATTTCTTATTGTGGAAGATGGTGAACGGCGGTTAGAATGAATTTTTTCACCTGGAATTCAACGGTTGTAAATATTGACAATAAATTCACATATTATATTGTGTTTGAGGCTGTACCTTCTTAAAGGGATGGTCAAGAAATCAAATCCCTCGGCCCTCGTCACCCAAAAAATTTGTTCTATGTAAGGTCTAGATGGTATTGGCAATTATAATATTTTTAAAGACAACGTCACTACGACAGTGTATTAAATATATTTATTTATTATAAAAACCAAGCAGGCGCCTTGCCGTTTTCAAGTATTTCACGGTTGGTTGAGAATCGTCACAAGATGGCGCCACGGAATCGCACAACCCATCCATCTTAACTTTATTATAGATAGCGCTATGCGTAGTCCATTCATATTTTTACGACAACAACCTTAAACATACAATTATTATTGTCAGTCCAACAACAATAATAATCGTATCGCTCGTTATCTTCACTATAGTAGTAGTAAACTATAATAGTAAGTAATGGTGTAGTCGCGAAAACTAAGCAGCTGCAGATGTATACTGTACTCGGTAGAACTTTAACCAGAAGTATTTCAAAGCTTAAAGTATAGGCCACGGTATTGCGTTTTCCGTCCTACTTCCGTCAGTGCCGCTTTAAACGTGTTTGCTTTTCTTAACTCTCCGTTATCAGTTCCATATTAATTGAGTCGTACTCGGACTGCGACGTTATTGTTTGATTTTATATTTCATACTATTTAGCCGATTTATTATTTACATTTTATTAAATATTTTCGTTTTCATTTGCAAATTGCAAATTGCGCTGTTGAATCGAAAACGACCCCGAACTGTCATGTAGTACAGACCGGAACTACAAATCGAAGAAGAATTGTTTTCTGAACAAAATCGGAACCAATTATACTTTAATATTATTATTTTCATTATTGTTTTTCGATTGATCGGTATGATTATAATGGAATACCTGTTGTGAAATAATAATGTTTTAACTGTCTGTAGCTCATGACCAAGAAGTAATAAAAAAAAGTAATAATAATTTTATAATAATGATAAAACAAAATGACACTAAACAAATACATATCTTTGACGTTTGACATTGTGTAATTTAAAATAATTAGTAAAATGTTTTAATAAACCCCCTCCCTTCATTAATCACAAGGTACCCGATTGTGATTGTTTCTTGTTAAATGAAAGTTTTAAAAATAAGTCATCTTCCAATTTTGATAATGCCCTTAGGATAGGATCCACCATTCGCTTATCATTAAAAATAATTAATTGTGTGTTTCCATCTTCAGAAAAGAAAACCAGAGTAATAATGGAAGAACAAACTTTATTGCAAGATCTAATGGAACTAGCCACGCACATGCGACAAGAACGACTCTTCACTCAATACGAGATAAACAATTTGCAAACACTTAATGAACAGGTGAACGTTTATCAATTACTGYAATTGTCAAGTATTCACTCTTTCCAAGTTAAATGTGTTGTTGCTTAAAGTCTTATATTGTTACATTTTGTTTATTCATGTGATCACATAACTGAACTATTATGAACAACTTTTATTGGTTTAAAATTGTAATTTTTTTTTTCAACAGGTAAATAGTATATCGAATAGATTGGCTCAAGAAGCTTGGATAACAACTCAACAACGTATAAATCTGAACAAATTAGTCTTGTCAAATCCAGATTGTACCCCCGCTGATTGTTGTGAAATCGCTCAACATCTGGATGATACGCATTTTGTCGAAGTGCATGAGTCAATTGGCTACAATGTAAGTCTGTATTTATACATCAAATAAACTAAAAAAGTAATGCTCTTTTTTTATAGAATGCGCAAGGGTTTGGTGTTCTAGTGCAAAAGTTGCGTAAAAATCCAAAACTTCTAGCAAGCTGTTTAGCTGCTGGAGACCGATTATTTACTAACAAAATGCCAGATGTTGTCAATTGCACTTTATCTGGAGTGTTTGGATCTTGTTTGATGGCTGAGGATAATGTTTTAATATTAAAATTACTCAGACATTTAGCTGTGTTACAGTTAATACCTGCAGATAACCCTCGCAGGTTTGCCCTTTTGATAAAGTAGAATAATATATTATATGATTGTGTATTATTATATCTATGTTAGGTATGATAACAATTAAAATTAAGAAATAATAATAAATGCCTAAATATTTTAGAGTATTAAGTCACGGATCATGTGCTTTTTCAAGATTGTATTCTGCATTCCACGGAAGTTTATTTTCTGCAAAATTATTTTTGACTGCTGCTTTTCATGATCCCATTATGCAGTTGTTAAAAGATGAGGAAAAGTACCTCGATATTGACCCAGATAAAGCACAATTAAGGTAAATAAATCATCAAATTGATTTACATATCAAATATATTGATATTAATCTGCTTGTAAATTTTAAAAATCTAGTATTCTATAGTAAATCTAATTGAAACTAAGGTTACAAAAAAAACTATTCAATTTAATTATTTAATATTATAACCGCCCTATTTTCCTGCTCCAACAATATAAAAACGCCTATAAATATAACATAATTATTAAATATCATTCAATACTTATTATTTCAAAAAGTATAAATGTTTTAAAAAAAAATAAATTTTAATTTGTTCTTATTCATTAAAATACAAAATTTTGTAATTTAAAAAAATTATTAACTAAGTGATCCTGGTAATAAATATTTAAAAATAACATTTTTTAATGCAAAAAACATAGTTTTGTGATTGCTTAAACCCAAGTAAAAAAAAAAGAACATTAATACTTGTGTAATGAGTATCCTGCTTTAAATATATATATATATTATATTATAAAATATTTATTATGAATGCAACATATAAATAAATATATTGATTTTCCTAGATTGTATTATACATATCGAAATAATTTTAAAATATTTTAATAATTTGTTGTTAGTATATAAAATACAATTAAGCACCTAAATAATGCTTTAAATATTTATTTTTATCATACATATTATATTAATTTAAAATTTTAGATTTTCTAATCTTAGAACATGCAATCGTGAACAAAGTTCTGAATATAATTTAAAACTTCAAAACTATAGAAAATCTATTGTAGAACAACTGGTAGCAATTGCTTCAAAATTCATTAATAGCCTCAATGAAAACCTTTACTGTTTTCCAAGCTCAGTGTGTTGGCTTGTGAGGCAAATTCATTCTTTATTAACTGCTGGAAGTACTTTGACTGAAAAACAAGTATTATATATTTTGCATTTATTATTTAACTTGGATGTATTGGTAAATTCTAATGTATTGCTATTTAATTTTAGATTTATGGTATTTGTGTAAATCTAGTTTTCACATATTTTATTTGTCCAGCAATCGTAAACCCCGAACCACATGGAATTACTGATGCTGATATTACTCAAATTGCACGTTATAATCTTATTCAAGTAGCCAATATAATTCAAATGTTGGCCATGTACAAATATGAACCAATTGATAATAAAGTTCAAGACTTGTATCAGCATTTCAATAAGGATTGCATTTCTAGCTTAATGGAAGCTCTATTAAAAACGTCATCACGAAATTCTTTGAATGATGAAAATCTTACTGTAAATTCTAATGTTAAATTGGAAAACATAATTAGATCCGTTGCATTATTTACTGAAGASGAACTTCAAACTTTTGTAAGCATTTTAAGTCAACTATAGCTATAAGTACTTAATAATTGCAATTTTAGGTTAATTTCCTGAATGTGGTTTCAAATGATGGAACATTGAGCGAGTCAGATAAAAAAGAACTGGCTGATTTATTGATGAATATGCCAATAATGTGGCCTGATAATAATTCAAATGATAAA